TTGTTTTTTTTGCCAGACAGAGAAAAAGGAGGCCAGACAAAGCCAGAGAGAGAGAGAGAGAGAGGTAGTAATGCCTGGGCTTGAGAATATATCACTCTGTTGATGTGAAAGGAAACTGTGTGTGAGGAATCATTCAAATGTGTATTTGTGTGTGAGTGGAAGAATGAAAACCCCTCCCCAGGATCTGTTAATTGGCTGCCTAATTGCATCCAGGGACAAATACTTTCCCATACATAATTTCCAAATAGCAGGCAGGGACACTGGAGGTTAATGAGAGATGAGTATATCTGTGTGTGATCAATTCCATCTTAAAAAGTTAACATGTTTATTCTGGCTGAAGCCCACAGTGGACTGGGGTGGAGTGAAATGCTCATTGTCCTTCAGCTGCAACAGCAGAAACCTTATTTCAGTCCAGTTATCTGAGGAATCACTGGTCATGCTTTTGCCCATTCACTTTATTCCATTATTTTGTCTCATCCACAGTCTTCAAGGAGAAGCACCCACCTCCACTGTTCACTGAAAAACCACTGGAGGAGTCCACAGAGAGACTGTCTGACACAGCCTGCTCACATCTTCTGTTTCTATCAAGAACATAAACACTTAAAATTTGTGTCAGTGTTACCACAATATAGTTTACTTTCAAAATTCAATTGCTGTTTTCACTTGCTTGCAGGTAAGAACATGTAAAACCTGCTTCTATTCAGTTTCTAAAATCCTCAAACATGTTGTTGCTACTTCGGGTATATAGAAGCCATATTAGCAGATGCTATACGCTGCAGGTCCTTACACAAACACAAGTCTGCTTTCAGGTCACAATCAATCTCCTCCACCAGAATAGCCAAATTATTTTATTAATAATGTTTTGATCTGATAGCCCCCACCAAGACACACACACACATAGCCATGTCAGTGTTGTCCGACAATGCCTGCCTCCTGTCTGTTTGGGACGTGAGGTAAAGGCCCCTCTTCATAACTGGTCAGCACCCTCGCTGACCCCTCTCATGGCTGCTCAGATCCTGGAGGAAATGATTCTGTCAGTGTGGAAAAACAGGAGAGGCCTGGTGGAGCATCCGCCCGGCCTGCGGCACAGAAAAAAAGGCTGCTTATATACAGTGGGGAATGGAGGAGTTTCGCAAGTGCTTTGTGTACCAGCCAAGTACGGCTGCATCAATGGGCCTGTCAAGTGAGTTATCCCTTATTCACGGCTCTTTTCTATTACACAGAGAATCTGGCTGACACAGCCCTGCTGACACTACAATAGTCCTGCTAAACTCTTTAAGGCTGGAAATGAAAATTTAGACTGAAGGTGTTGATAGAAGTCGACACAAACCGACACACACATTTATTTCTTTTTTCTTTTATGTAACAATTTCACTTAACTCATCGTGGTTTACATGAAGTTCTATTTTTAGATTATTTCTAGGTAGTACAATTGTTACCATTTTATTTCTTCATATCAGGAAAATAAATTAAATAACAAATGTTCTCCAGCCGCTAATTCTTCCAGTTTCATTCTATTTGGGATTATGGTTTGCTGGCAGCTTCCACTCAGCGTTGCTGTAAATGTCGGGGAGTGAAGACAACCTCTAATCAATGAAACATGCAGACAAACTGAGCTGGACACAGCAGCATCTGAACTGAGGCTCCCTGGCAGGCAATTACTATGTTTCGGAAAATAAATGAAATGACTAACAAAATAGGTCAAATTAAGTGTTTCCCAGACACACTAAAAGGACCTTCCTAATTGCTGGTCCCTGAAGGGACAAAAATACAAAAACAACAAAACATTATATTGTATCTGCCAAAGACGAAGAGCTGAGAATGGGTTGTGGTGGAGGAGAGGCTGAGGGAAGAAAAGGACCCAGCATGGTTTGTGTAATTACATGTTTTGCCTCGATCGGCCGTGTCTGTACCGTCAGTCAATCAACAACAGTGAGTCCGGCGGCTGGAGCAGATGGTGGAGGAAGGAGTTGAGCCGGTCATTGACTTTGTTTCTGCTAAGGGAAGGAAGAGACAACAGATCCAAAGGACACTTGCGTCACTCCTCCTCCGAATCAAAGATTATATTGTATGTTGGCATACTATTGAGTTGTGCCAGGATGGCCTTGATTAGAAGAACCTCATTAGATATGGAGGATATGAAGAGGCAGAGACATAAATCAATACAAAGACTTTCTCTTCTTTTTTCATTTTACCCCCACCCACTCACTGACACTTTATCCTCCAAGATGTCCAAGATAATTCACACATCCTCATACTATTGTCATGAGAAAATAGAGGAAAAGCCAAATATGCACTCTGCAAAACTGATTAGTTTATTGAATCTCCCCACAGACCATTTCTCTGAGGTCCACTGTTGTGACTAAGTCTGCTGTTAAATAAAATTAGAGTGTGACTTCCTCCGCTACATTTGGTTCAGTGGAGTGAGGAATGAATGAACGTGTGGAAGATGAAGTAGAGTCTTGCAGCCTGCTGCTGATGAATCTTGTTAGAGAAGAGACTTTGAGCCACAATTACATTTCCTTCACACTCTGTTAGGGGGGATTGGGAGCTGGAAATTGCACCTCAGTGCTAAACGAAGCCTAAGCTTTAATTAACAGCAGCACACAATAGGTGACGGACATCGCCCACAGTTCACAGCTCTCATGTTTCAATCCCTCACTCAAGGAAGTGTCTGGGAAATCTGGGCAGGTGTCGAGGGAAAACAAAACAACACGCGATCAGCCCAACATTGTGCTTAAATCACGAGCAGTCATTGTGATTTTCAAAGGGCAAAGGCTGATCCTCTGCTCCATACCTGAATAACACCCACCTCTGACTGAGGCTTAAAGGGAAAATCCACCCTAAGACACAGTTACAAAACAGCAGTGTTTTGCATTTGTGGACGCATTTTCATTTTATTTCATTTCATTATATTAAATAAAATGAAAATGTTTATCATATCATAATGATTTTCCCAACTTAGATATAACAGAATTTTAGCACTACATTTTGACAAACTCCACTACAGTAAATCACAAACTTAAGTATATCAGACATGTCTGTAATCCACAATTACATAGAATGGAATTAACACTCTATGTACAGAGACATTCCAGTTGGAGCAGAGCTGAGACTTTGGCTCTAAACTAGACAAACTGGTTCCAACCGTCTTCTACAAATTACATCTATTTACTACTACTTTGTTTTGCCAAATGCATTTTGAGCGGAACGCAGGTTGATAAATTGTGGATTCAAGTCACAGTTGACATCTTCAAAATTATAAGAACACCATCTTACCTGAGTCTTAACCTAGAGCTTTGGCTTGCTTAATGATGGCAGTACCACTTGGATATTTTAGGAAAACAAATGAAATACAGTATCAGTGAACATTTTATTGATACTTTCAACATTTTGGACTTAACTGTTGTTAAATGGTTCAATAGACATGTTCTGTCTATGTACATGTTCTGTCTGTTCTGTCTATATATGTTGATTAAATTGTAATCTGGGCAAAATTACGTCTCTCTTAAAATCTCTTTGCATTTGTCCGTTGAGATGCAAGGATAAAATTATTGCTGCTGTGATAACTTCCAGCGTTGTAAAATCTATCCATAGACAGGTTTAAAAAGAAAATAAAAGAAAAAAAATCTATCCATATTTGGTGTCTGAACATCCTGATAACATATGAATCTATATTAAATTATTAAATGACTGGCCTTTTTTAATTATATTCTTCTCACTGTTACATGGAGACCAATGCATGCCTTAATACAGCTGTTCTGTTTTTGCTCTAAATGCTCGCCATCAGTGCATCTCAAAGTGTTCGTCCCTTGATTTGCCCTGTATTCTCGAAGTGACATGGCCAAAGCTTGACATCCATTCTAAAGCAGGACAGGTAGTACAAACTGGAGGGTAGAGGCAGCAGAGAGGAGGCAGTGCCCTACATAAAGGATGTAAGTGTGAGTGAGGAGCGGAACAGTGGAAACAAAGTCTGCCACAGTAGTCTGTACTGCTCACTGGGAGGCTACAAGGTTAATTCTGGTCTAGACTGAACAATTCAGAGACATACTCTGTTTAGGCAAAAGCTCAAGGCTGCATAACTGGCTCCACTGTTCCTCACAATCCAAACAAAAAACTGGGCTTTACCTTAGAACAGCTGAATGAACCTTAAAAAGGTGGGGTGGGATACACATCTTTCATTTCAAGGAAATCAAATGGCCTCAATGTATCACTGACACACTTGTGCTCTTAGTCCACATTCTGTGTAACCTCTGGCTTGATTCTTTTTCTGATGTTGAAATCCACTGAAGACCTATGTGACTGTAGTACTGACTCCTCATAATACAGTCAAATTAATATTTTAAATGCAATGTGTCTACACACTAAAATAAAATGCTAGATATTGATTTTGCATTATGTGATCTTCCGTCACCCACATCCAGTGTGTGTAGGTGGATACTTGTGTCAGGGCCAACCTTGGGGCTCGTGGCACCCTTCACACTGCTGGGGAGAGAATGGGATGGAGACCTGCACAAAGAGACAAACACTCACTGAAACAGTTTTACTCAAACTGCAGCAGGTAAGAATGACTATGCTGACATTCTGTCATTGAGGTGACATGATGATGTGACAGTGTGCTGCTTCAGTAATTTACATACACATACATGAGATGGTGGCTTCAGTGTGAGCTCTGTTTTGTGAAGCTGATTATATTCAAAATCTGTCGTTGAAACTGATGTTTAAAATTTTGTGAAACACAGAAGATCAGTTTTATTGTTTAGAGTGATTCATACTGAAACGGATGCCTTTCTGTGGGCTAATGAGCAGTCCTGTGACCTGCTTGAAAAAAGCTACATTTAAATCAACACTTAAGACCAGAAACTATTGACATACAAACAGACAACACATCAGGATTATTGAATAATAAAAATAATAATAAAAGAGTCTAGTCTAGTCTCTCTCCTCAAGGATGCATTACAGCCCACAGAAGGTTTAAAGTGAAAGGGATGTAACTTACTTGCGCTACTCCAGTGCATCCCGCCGCCTCAGCAGGATCCTCTGCAGTTCCTCGTCACGGTTTGTTGACGGAGACACTGCCTTTAGTTGGGGGGGAGGTTCTATTGAAATTCTCCTAGAGAGTTACAACAGAAACATATATTTACATGCCGACAGCCTGTTCAACAACAGAGCTGCAAAGTAGCCATTGCAGCTCAAAATGAGTACATGTCGTTTGTTCAGCTGCTTGTCTGACTTTAACTGGAGTGGTAATTAACAGTACAACAGTAGCATAATATGTGCTAATTTAATCTGTTATTCTTCATCTTGTGTGTCTAGTATGTAAATATTGACATTAGCTCTTTAAATGTTACAGTAATACTTTCTCATAGGTTAAATATCTGACTACTTTCCAACCATTGCTGAATTTTATTATATTTTAACATTAAATTCCGGTGTGAGCACATCCATGAACAGTGTAAAAAAACAAAGCCTCTCCTGAATAAACACTGTGAAAGTTCAACCAGTAAAATATGGCGTGCGAGGACATGTGATTGTTTTAAAGTCCCATTACCATGATTCCTTTAAGTTCCTGAATGGCAGAATTAGAGGGCAGTCTCTCCATCTGATAAAAGGAAAATAGGAGGAAAAAGATGGGTTTGGTAAATAAACAGCAGTCTGACACATTATACTTATTTTTCCTCATTCAGCACTTAGAGACTAAACTGCACCTCTTACCACAGAGAGTAGGCACTGTAGGCAAGAGTGAGGACGTATGCTTTCTACAAGAAGAAAATGTGTAAACACACAATCATTTTGAGTCACGTCAATTTTCCCATCCTCATTATTTATAATTACCTCATAGAGCAGGTCCTAATGCTATCTAATTTGGCAGAGCTGTTGTGGCGGAGGAACACGCAGACTAAAAGATGTCTTGGCCATATGTCATGTTTTATCAAAACAAGCAGCTCTTAGATAATCCCACACACTGAGGGATTTAAGAGCACTGAACAATATACGCTCAACAATGTACCAAAACCTAATTCAGACGGTGGTTTAGTTTGATGATTTCAACACGTTTTCTGTCACACACATGCACTTCCTTTAATGACTCTCCAGTTTCATGTCATTTCTCTGTCTTCAGTGTTTAGTATTCACTGTGAGGCATCTCTGCAGTTTGTACTGGACTTTTCTGCAAACTTTCTGCATGGGGCACTCTTTTCATTGTCCGATGAACAAATCCTTCTTCCTTTTAGTCCAAACAAATGTATACACATTCCTGTGTTCCAGGAGCTTTTTTCCAGACACAGAAGGTTTATGACTGCAACCATTTAGGCCTGTGGAATCACGGTGGTGTGTGCTGTTGGAAAAACCAGCGCTTTACCAACCATCTCAGCTACTTATATCATGATTGTCATCACTACTGAGATTCATCAGCCTTACAAATGAAAATGCAGCTGCATCATCATCTTAGTGTCTCATTTCATTGAGTGGCTTTATTTAACCAAATCCAATTCTGCGTGCATACAATAAGCCTAAATGTGAAATATGTTATTGATTTTGCCAAATATATTTAATGATCATTAAGCAGGACTACATGAAAACTGAAAGCAGTTTGCAGGTGGGAGTATCAAGTGAAACCTTACTGTATTGATTTTAGGGCTTGAAATATTCCTATAATGTCCCTCTAGTGACTTAGACAAGTTAACTTTAATTAACTTTACAGTGAGCTTAGTTTACTTCACACATTTTATGTCATATTTCTCTGTCATCTACCTTGTGATTTTATTCACATTTATCTTAAAGTTAAAATTAATCATATTTGGAGTGAATCTCACGGGGACTGTGTCTGTGTATCCTGCCCTGCGGCTCTCCAGATAACACTGAGTGTAGGGCTGTCATTTCCAATACAAAATTCGAGCTAGTCTTCAAATGTGGTTAAACATGTCATATTGAATCAGTAATGATCAGTTTGCATTCAAAATTGACTGTGTATATGCACAGTCAATATGCATGCATAAGCATGTATATGCACAGAGTGTGCCTAGTGCTCCAGCAGGGGGCGTCCTAAAATGCAACATCACTGTTATCCATTGCATGCACTCTCAGCCTGAGTAGGTAAGTTATTGTAGTTCTGTGTGCTAATACAAAATGGAGAAAACTAGCTGTGCAAGCTGTGCTGAATCGACATCAAACCATATGAGAAGTAATGTACAGAAGCATTTTCAGTTTGAAACTGTGAATGACAGTAAATACTGTTTGCTGACTTTGTAAAATACATTAGCCTTAAAATAATTTAGCATGTCAATGAATGAACAAAATTAATTCTACATTGAAGTTTAAGACTGTTCTTCATAGGTTAATTCGAAATGTTATTAAAGGAAATTAATTTAAAATAATTACATATTAGTTGATTTTTACTGACAGTTTACTGCCATGAAACTAGAGGGTAAACTGGCTTTAAAAGTGAAAAACACAGCAGGTCACAGATATTGTCAGAATAATACATCATTTTAAGGGATTATTGAAGTTACCTGTCTCCTGGTCCTATTAGGTGACTGGCTGACAGGTCGAAGTTGAACGCCTTTCTTGATCCTTTGCATCATTTCCCCCACTGCCTGCTGCCTGATGTCCACTTCTGCGAGTGACAGACACACATAACGAGCAAGAGAGGCAAAGACTGCATCAGTGAGCTTGAGGCTGTACTTGTCTTTTTCAACAGACATGCTGTATTTAGTGGATTCACTGATACTAAACGGGAGTCTGCCTCAGTGGGAAACAGTGCCAAGAACCAAAGTGAGTTTAAATGATTTTGAGAGGGACTGTGTAATTCACATGCATCATTAGCACTGCACTTGAAATATAGCTCATTTGGATGTAAAAGCTTAGAAATGACACGAGCCCCCAGGGACAATCAATTAAGTTTCTTTTGGAGAAACTCCAGGTTTTTCCTCTTAATTATGTCATAGATATTGACTGAACTGTATTACTGTGAATCCTTTTTAGGGTGGATTTGGTTATAACCAGGCAACAATTAATAAGGCCCCATGTACAGTTCATAACCTTTGTAATGTGTGAGGAGACCAAAATTATTCTGCTATGAATTTCAACTCTCACACATCTTTCATTCAAAAGTTTTGCGAGGATAAGAGTTTCTCAAGTTCACAAAAGATGGGAACAAAATATATAATTCTGCAATAATGCATCCCATTGGTAAAGAAATGTGAATATTTAATTTTCAAACATAGAACAATCAGTGGCATACAGAATGGAACTATTGTCAGTAAGATGTCTTTAGAATGTCACACAAAAACTATTTCGTGTTAAACTAATAGTAAAATATTTTCCTCCAAAGTGCTCAGAAAGAGTCTATTATTCAGGTGTCAGAGTCGAAGATCCTTGGGTGGCACCTATTCAGCCCTGCATGTAATTCCAACAAATACCCTGTGCATAGTGCCCAATTCAGGCCGCATATATTCAAAAACTATTTAACAAAATGAAGACACATAGCCTGTTCTGTCAACATGGACGTCCTACCTGCTCCAACAAGTCAAGGCTTCCCTTTTGTTTGCTCAAATTGAAGAATTTAACATGTTGACCTAATAGGCCAATGATGGAGATTTGAGTTTGAATGTCTTATGCACCACTTGCCACATTTATCCTTTTACACAAAAGTGACTTTGATTTGCAAAGGAAAAGGCGAAAAGGATCAAATCTGAAAAGCAAAAATAGGATTCAAAACCAGTTCTCCTACACTGACATGTATGAGAAACAGTGGCCCTGAGGAGAATAAAATACAAAATGAACATACCTCACACAGAGAAAGAAAAGATACGCTGAATGTTTGAACTCAATGGAGAGTATGAGTTACAGAATATGGATATCAATACAGCATTTCACTGTCATCACTTGGAATACAATTTATCATTTATTGGAACGCAAAGAAATATATAATATATAAATGAATATTTGCATCTTGCTTTGTCGCTCACTCCACAAAAACTTGCCCAAAGTTTTTGACCTAGGAGGCTGAAACTTGGCATCGAGGTTAAGTGTGTATGTGTGAAGGTGAGTTTTGTGTTAACTGGCTAAATTGGCAGTGGCCTATCGCAAAAAGGCAAGGCAAGTTTATTTGTATAGCACATTTTAACAACAAGGTAATTCAAAGTGCTTTACATAAAACATAAAAGTTTAAAAAGTTTAAAAGCAACATAAAATATAATAAAAGTTACAGTGTTACAATCAGGGTTAAAAGAGTTAAATGGAAATATTTAATTAAAAGCAATGATAAAAAGTTAAAAACAAAGAAAAAGAAAACAGGACAGTAAAAGTTACAGTGCAGTGTAAGTTATCAATAAAAAGAAAAATCTTAAATATTTAATTAAAAGCAATGGTAAAAGAAAAGTCTTCAGTCTTAATTTAAAAGAACTGACTGTTTCAGCAGACCTGCAGTTATCTGGGAGTTTGTTCCAAATATACGGAGCATAATAACTGAACGCTGCTTCTCCTTGTTTAGTTTTGACTCTGGGGACAGAAAGCAGACCTGCCCCTAAAGACCTGAGAGGTCTGGATGGTTCATAACGAAGCAGAAGATCAGAAATGTATTTTGGCCCTAAACCATTTAGTGCTTTATAATTTGAAATCAATTCTTTGACATACAGGAAGCCAATGTAAAGACCTCAGAACTGGAGTGATGTGAGTTTTGGTCTTAGTGAGGACTCGAGCAGCAGCGTTCTGAATCAGCTGCAGCTGTCTGATGGATTTCTGTATTTCTCTATTTCCTGTAAGTACACTGTTACAGTAGTCAAGTCGACTGAAGATAAATGCATGGATAAGTTTTTCCAGGTCCTGCTGAGACATAAGTCCTTTAATCCTTGATATATTCTTCAGGTGATAGTAGGCTGACATAATTGTCTTAATATGGCTCCTCAAATTTAGGTCTGAGTCCATGACTACACCACATGACTGAACATGACTGTTCATGTAAACTGGCTTATACAAAAAGGCGCATAAGTTTTGTCGTGGACACTTGTGGGAGCCATCATTGATGGCTCATTACTGTGTTGGCCATTCCCCTTACAATTTAGTCCCACCCCGTTTTATAAGTACCTTTTGCAAAAGTGTGCATGTTTATGGATGGTGTATATAATTATCACATCCTACATTTATCATATGATGGAAATAGCTAATCAGGTTTGTAAAGCTGCTGTCCAGTGGACTAAACTTCCTATCATGGTGCCTTCAAATGTATTATATATTTTAAATTATATTCAAAATATGAAAAAATATCTCACACCGTACATATAAGTAAAATCCACAGTGGATTGTGTCTTTGTTGCAGATAAAAAACATTTGAACAGATTTTTGGGCATAGTGGAACCCTGACTGAGCAAACAAAGCCCCAGCAGTTTTGGTGATCATGTGACACTGACCTTAAAGTGACCCCATATGGGAGCCACTTTTTAGTTTGCTTTCTTGAGAAAGAAGCTCTCTGGGAATTATTGTTCTCTATTTTACTGCTCTTCGTCATGTTTTACCCTTTTCTTGCAGAAGAAAAATATTTGATTAGACTTATCTGTGATATGGTCAGTGGTCATATGACTGGAATTAACCAATGAACACTTAAAAAGACTGCTTTATTTCCTGTTCCTTGTTTTCACAATGGTGAAGACAAGAGAGCTGTCTGAGAGCATCAGAAGTGCTATTATCACCAAACACCAGAATTCTATAGGGTACAAGGACATTGACATCCATGTTTCAAAGTGTGCAATGTTATTAGAAGTTTGCTACTCTTAGAACTGACAAGAACCTCCTGGGACGTGGGGGGAAGAGCAAAATCGATTAGAGAAGTTACTGAAGACTGGTGCAAACTGTAAAAACAAAATGTAAACATGTAAGCTGAAGGCAGACCTGGAGCAATCAGCAGTGATGGTTTCAACTCATATCCTTTACCGCACACTAAATCAAGAAGGGCTTTATGGGCTGAAAAAAACACATTAAAAGGTACAACCGTTGCTTGCCAAAACGCACCTAGGCAACCCACAATCCTTCTGGGCAAATGTTCTGTGGACAGATAAAACCAATATAGAGCTCTTTGGCAATGCAGGGCAGCAATTTATTTCTAGATGAAATGAAACTTACAAGTTAAAGAGGTGGTATTATGCTTTTTGGCTTTTCCCCTCTCCTTTATTGAGTTATATCTCTTTTTTGTGCATGTAACAGGTTTGCTGGGTGAAAAAGCCCCAAAGTCCAGCCCAAAGGGAGTTCCCATCTCCCACAGAAAACTCTGCTCTGAACCGCTTGAAAACAGCTCGTTTGTAGTCCAGCCCTTCACAAGCGGCTAGCGGGGTCAGGCAAGCCCTCAAACCAAGCTAGTCTGAGTCTGTCTTTACATTCTGAGGAATGTTGAAACGTTTTAACTTTAAAAAGAGGCAGCTGGATCGCTGGTGTGTGTGGCGCATTGAACATTATGTCGCGGCAGTTGTGTGTGTCGCTATTGACGACAAGCTACGTACTATCTCTGGGTACTGTCTGCAATGGAAAATGGAGCAGGGCCGAGTAGAGTCGAGTCTATCGATTTGCGCTATGGTAGCATTTTTCGGCAAGGCAGCATAGATCGGTCAGAACACCGGCAACAGTTCAACGTTTAGTCCTAAAAGACGATGCAACTCCGACTCTGCTTGGGCCTGGAAATTCACAATCACAACCTGTAAGTATATTTAATTGGTTGTGAATTATATTTAAAATAAACACGGCAATGTAACTTCACAGACTGTTCAAGTGCGGAGTTGTTGTAAACACTGGCTAACACAGCTAAAGTTATAACTATAATGCTAATGTTACACCTGATGTGAAAGCTACTGAGCAAACGTTCAAATTGTTTGGCCAATTTTTATGTAAAACTGAGTTGAAATATGGTGATTTTTGTAGTGGTTTATGGTAAGATGTGGAACAATGATGTTGTGTGGTTGTGGACTTGTGAGTAACTTATACCATCTGCTAGGTTACGGTCGCAGTCTGAAGCGGCTTTGATTTGGATCACACTACCCTGTTTCTTACGACCCGCCCTTCTCTGCTTCTTATTGGCTAGTAGTCCTTACCTGGGAACTGCGCATGTGCAACTCCTAACAAAGATTATTAGTACAAGTAAGATGCATCACTCTGTAGCTCAAGAGCGGCGCGTACAACACATAGGTTGAAAAGAGGAGCTGCAGCAATGTGCAGTATGAGAAATATATGGTGTTTTGTGAAAATTAAACCATGTAAACCTGTTCTGGTGCAACCCCTAAATAAGATTTTGAACCTGAAAATGAGCAGAATACCACCTCTTTAAGAACACCCTACCTACAGTTAAACATGGTGGAGGATCCATAATGTAGTGGGCCTGCGTTGCTGCCTCTGGTACTAAAGGTCTGTACCGTATTAAAGAATGATGAAATCAGAGGATTTCCAAGGCATTTTAGAGTGAAATGTGCTACCCAGCATAAGAAAACTAGGTTTGGCTCAAAGATCAGCACAATAAAGACCCAAAGCACACATCCAAAAGCACAAAAGAATGGCTAAAAAGAAAACATGGAGTGTTTCAAACTGGCAGGTTATAAGTCTTGATCTCAGTCCAATTGGAATTCTTTGGAGAGAGCTGCAATCAACCACTGGGAAAATGAAACATTCAGAACACTGAACAAATTGCAGTGGAAACTACCAGCGGACCGGTGCAAAAAGCTTATACTGTTGGTAAGAAATGTTCCGAGGCCTTCCTTGTTGCCAACAGGTGTGCATCCAAATTTTAGGGAAGGGTGCCTTTAATGCAGGTCATGTTTTACATTTCTTTTTGGAAATCACAGCATGGAAGTTGAAAAGGAATGTTTCTGTTGAATATCTCTGGACATATTAAATATTCTGATGATATGTTTTCAGTTATTGTACAGGTTACATAAAAATCCAAGGGTGCTGACCAGCCTCCGACAATGTTGACCAGACATGTATATATTGCCCATTATGTGGATGTTTGGTGTATACCTGGTGTCTTGGCAGAGTCCTGGACCACCAGTGGGATGTCAGAACTGATGTCTCTTCTCTTTCGGATCAATGACAGCAGTGTGCTACAGGGGAAGGCACAGATCAACTGGTTGTTATTTAGGAAGTTGCTTTCACAGGACTCCAAATATGCATATTGGTATTGATTTGGATCTTTCAGGAACAAATAAATGTTTTAATAATAATTATGCACACACCAGGACATCATTTCAAATGTATGTCTCATAAGTGAATACCACTTACAACCAGCTGATTAAAAGGGTCAAACCAACAATAAAACGAATGAATGAATCTACAGCAGCTGCGCAGGACTGGGGGCCTTTGTAGATTTCAACATAATGTTGCTAGCATATATAAATATATTACTAGATACAGGAATACAATGGGCCGTTGCAAGTAGATTACAAGTCTGAAGACTGCGAAGGTCAGCATGTGACACAGCACATGAACCTGTTGATGTTAACTCTCTTTTGTATCATGCATATACACTTTTTGCTAACATCAAGATGGTGTCTTATTTCTTTAGAGGTGTTTTATGTCTTTCGAAGTGCTTTAGGGTAGAATATACAATTGTTTTAATACTGAATATGTGTGGAGGTTAAGGTGGGTGTTACCATAAGACCCTCAAGAGGAGGAGATTTTAGCCCACCATCACAATATTATCATCTGCATTGGGACTTTTGGGAAATTGTTCGTATTTAGGAGAAAACACCTGAATTATTTGTATCCTGTAAAGGCTTGTGCAGACTACACGTCTTTCAGCGTCGGCCGATGGCCATGCCATTCACACTACACAACTTGCCGTCATGTGACAGGAGTCTTGAAGTCGATGTGGCGTTCACACTACGTGACTGATCGGTGACAGGGGGTCATACACTACGCAAGCTGACAGCGGCTGTGTCACCTGACGTTGGTCTCCAAACCACGCTTTGTCAAGAAAACACACATGAAATGTGAAACGGGAAAGGACGCGAACCTACACCAAAACAGCAGTTGTTTGTTATTATAAAGACTGCAGTGTAAAGACAAAGAATCTGGGTGAAAGAATGGATTAGCTCACGCTGGTAGCAGGGATTGTCTGAGCTACAGAGAGATGGATGTGAGTAAAAAGTGTTTTGCGGTGAAAAGTAGCTGCCTGCTCTCATTGGCTGGATTTGGATGTCGAGTCGGCAGACTCCTCCAGATATTTGGTGTGCTAGATATCTGGCAGACGTCGGTGATGGGACAGAAATGTGTCAGGGAGCCGTTTTGACGCGTCGAGTAATTCACACATTACGACTGGCGACAACTGTTGATTTACTCCCGATCACAGCCTGACGGTCGCAGAGCGGCAAATCGTGTAGTGTGAACTAGGCTTAAGACAAGGGAAAGTCAGAGTCTACTCCACCTCCAGAGGACCGGCCCCTGTCAGTATCCACAGCAGATGTGAGGAGAGTCCTGCTGAGAGTGAATATGAGTAAATCAGCTGGGCCTGATAACATCCAGGGCCGTGTACTAAAAACCAGAGCCAATCAGCTAGTTGATGTTATTACTGACATTTTCAACATCTCACTGTTTCAGGAGAGGGTTCCCACCTGCTTCAAGACAGCCACCATCAATCCTGGACCTAAAAAGTCTGCAGTCTGAACGACTGCCGCCCTGTGGCTCTCACCCCCTTTCTGATGAAGTGCTTTGAGGAACTGGTTCTTCAGCACATAAAGAACAACATCCCAGCCAGCCTGGACCCTCAGCACTTTGCTTTCAGAACCAACAGATCCACAGAGGATGCCATCTCCACTGCCCTCCACTCAGCCCTCACACACAGAAGTTGTGTGGAAGGTGCATCAAAAATGCGAATAAAAAAGATTTCCCTAACTAATGATGTACAGAGCATACTGTGTGTGATCTAACCTGAGCGGGTTGGAGGCCGGAGCTGGGGCTGGAGGAGGTGGAGGTGGTGGGGGCGGGGGAGGTGCCGGAGCTCGAGTCGGGGTCGGGTTGGTAGCTGCATTTAGTTTCTTTTGGAGCTCCTCAACTGGCCAGTGAAACAACAGCACCAAGAACAGAAAAAGGAAACTATTACAGTCATATAACAACAAATGGCCTTCCATGCTGACAGAAGACATGAAGAGAATGTCATGGTCACACTTTCAATCAGGTGTTGGGATCATTGTAGCCTTCACACACAGTTGATTCTACATTCTCCTCTATAGCGCACAGTGCAGTCCCCCCACTGTGTCCTGTCTTTACAGTTCCAAATATGTCTTCACCTGTAAAGCGCAGATCCTTGACCTCCACTTCAGCCTTGGAGCATTTGTCGCTGTACTCGTTCTTCTCCTCCTCCACGAGCTCCAGTTTACGCCTCAGTGCTGTCAGCTCTCTCTGAGCCTCACAGTTCCTCAGACGGTCCTCCATCTGCTTTATCTGAGGATACACGGACCACACCACACTCATTGTCACAACATTCTGTACGCACCTGTTTTACCACAGAGGGCCTGTACAGTATTGATCTGTTGTTCGGTTGCTTCATATGTTTATACTCCTTAAAAGGATATCCCCTTATTATTCACTTTAATTAATAATAAACTGAATGGTTTTCTTCTACCGTCCTGCTAGAAAAAGAGCAGTTCTGCAGCATTGTGGCGGCTGCAGCTCCTGCGGTGATGATTTCTAATAAGTAGCATTGGGTAGCTGCCAGTTCACATTCAGTCATTCGCTCTCCAACCCCAGTTCCTTAACCAGTGTTTTAATTGTTCCTCAAATGAAGGGTATGGCTCACCTCCACCCCGGCACCAGGAGAGATCAGTGATCCCACTCAGCTATAATTGTTTTCCATCAGTGCTAGATGAGGTGGGAGGGAGCTGGAGGCTATGCTGCTGCTTTTAATTATTAATCTGGCAGGTCATGGCCCCCAGGTTTTACTGTCATGGCCTATGATAATATTTTAATTTTATAAAATATTTTTATGTAATAATTTTCTTCTATTTGAACTATATTTGTGTTTTAAATAAGTTAGGCATCAATGAATAAATGACAAAAAGTCAACATAATCTAGTGTTGAATCTGGTATGTTACATAATAGACCCTAGGTCTCCTGCGTCGGTCTTTAACCAAGATATCTTAGGGAACCACAGTAAGGCTTAGCTACTTCAAACTTTTATTCTGTGTACTTTGGTTAGTTTTCTCCTTTACACTGATTAATTTAACTAGTTAAAAAACAAACAAAATATCCAAACTGAAACAGTTTGGAGCTGATGGAGCTGAGGGATGGCCAGTGGTTGCCATGGTCACCACAGACTAAAGCCTGCCATTTTCACCGACTTGTGCAGATCTGCACTTTTGACAATTTTAACACTGCTTTTATTGTTAGAAGTAGTAGTAGCTTGCTTTTCTATTTCAAGTTCCTCTGATTGTTTCTTTTAAACAACATCACTTTCAGGCTTATTTTAGATTATATTTAAGCTCTGCTGAGTGATAACTTTAATAGCAGTATCAGAGACTGTTTTATAAAGATGGAAAAAACCCACTATATATGATTCTGAATGAAGTGCTTGTTATAGGTGTAAGCTTTATTCATTAAGCTCACATTGGTTTTGGGTTTTTTCTTTTTAGAGAACAGCACATTCAGAATGAAATTCAAACCAACAAAAACAAATGTGCCCAAATGCCTGTGAGCTTATGACTTATTTATGATGAGACAAAGGTGGACACATTATAGTAAGGCTTAGCTTCCACATGCCTGAAGAGCTTGCATTCTGTCCAGATGCTTATATTCACCGTTTCCTCACTAGCTCCTCCATGTCAATCATACTGAACCATGAATCAAAGAAGCCAGACTCTATGTGTGGCGTTACATACATAAATGAGTCTAGTTTGTGCATGATTTGTTTACACAGACCTGGTTTTGGTGCTCCAGCCTCTGTATCTCCAGATCCTGGGTTAGTATGGTGACCTGGCTGAGGGCTTCCTGCAGAGCTTGACTGGGCAAGGAGCTCTGCATTAGGATCTGACTCTGCCTCTTCAGCTTCTTTTGCTCGACCAGCATCTGAAGGAAGGACCACAAGGAAAATGGAAGAGAGTCAGACACACTGTTGCATAATGAACCTCGTCATACACAGAGTAAGACAGGAACATGGAGGGCTGCTGTAAAAACACTCACTGCTCGGGCAATGCTCTCTGCCTCTGTCCTCAGATCCCTCTCCAGGTTTAAGGTGTCCTGTAAGACCTCGTATTCCTCCACAGCAAACTGAGATACTAGACAAAGATTTCCACACTGGAGTGCAACATGTAGTCTACCCTATATCAACAATCAATTACTTGTGATACCCTGGTGTAATTACTGTAAGCAAATAAGACCATGCCCAATTGCCCATGATTATCCATTTTGTATGTAGAGTGTCTCTAAAAATGAAAACACATTGACCTCCCCCCCCCCAATACCTCTGTTATATTTCCCCAGGAGCTTCTTTTGTAGTACTGTCTCAGCAAATAAAGCAGTGTTACCGTGTTTCTCTTTCAGCAGCTGCAAATGTTGGAAGGGACGGAGTAGAGAAACAGTACAAACAAATTGATTAATGTTCTGTTTTACAGAAATCAGTGAAAATGGAGATGACACAAAAGTAAATATAACACTTCTTGTCACTCTTTTCACTCCAAGTGCAAGCAATACTTTTCTCATATCAGATTCCTGACTGGACCAAAACCTTTTCAAAAATGTTTCAAAGTCATGGAAACTGGCATTACTGGGAACTTAAGGCTTAACATTTATTTTTTGTTTTTTTCAAAACCTTCCTAAACTAAACTCACTATTCATGCACCGTATTTATTTGTTGAAATCTAGAAATCATGCTCTCTGTGGGCTACTACACATACACACACACAAACACACACACAAAGAAAGTGGTCAGCAGAGCAGAGGTCGTGCTGGAGACGTTAACCAGGTGACGTGAACCAAGTTATCCTCTCCTTCCTGAGTAAAAACCAATACTATCAATACACCTGTTCAGCACATGTAAACCTGTACAAAGAGTATATAGTATATATAGACCATACAGTGACATTGTAAACATTACTGTTGCTGCTCTAGAAACAACATTTAGCTATATTTAAAATATTCAATTCTAATCCTGTTCTGAAACGTTTTTTTAAACAATATATTTTTAAAATCACATTTAGTGATGGAATTCACTGTTGATGCACAAACCATGCAAAGTGCAAACCTACACCTGCACAAAGATACTCTAGCACCCTTTCTGTCATCCATGCTAATGTAACGTTGTTGTTGTTGATGAGTCACAGTGATGCAAGGCTAAAAAGCTTGAAAATTGTGTGGACAGCTTCTCCTCTTTCCACAATCTCTGAGTATCTCTTACTTTTCAACAATTTGGTAGCCTTGACGTTAACATAGATTTATTATGAGCAACATTTTTTTGTATATAGTAATCCCAGTGACAGATACGGTACAAAACAACTTACTTCTTCTCTGGTTTCCCTCAGTTGTTCTCTTACTGCCTCAAGATCAGCTTCTGCTTGCCTTTTCTCTTTTAGTGTTAACTCCAACGTATTTTGTAGTTCTGAAACAAAGGAGAACAAAGCAAGTTTTAAAAAGTGTTCTTTTTTACACACATCATTTTGAGTATATTTACATTATAGTAAACCTTTTGCTATATGAATCTGCTGGTACAACCAAGGTTTGTGTGACTGGACTTAATGTAATGTTGAGGAAATACTATTCAGCAGTAGTAACTAAATATCACAGGCCAAAATACACAGCATGTGATCAAGTTTAAGATTTTTGTTGGTTTTAGATTGTGAATATTTATGTTTACCCCAGGACAGTGGTGAAAACTGACTGAGACTATACTGTGGTGGCCATTAATTTATTTCTTTTTAATATGTAATGTACAATTTAATGGTTATCAACATACAGTGAAATAAACAATTTAGCATCAACAGACTGTATTGTTATTGTTAAAAGAAGTATTGCCGTTTGTCATTTGTTTATTAAATCTGTTAATACAAAGCAGCTCACAGCAGGACCAGGCTGAGACATTTAGGAGGGTACTCAAAAAGAAAAAAGTCGCTGACACCTAAGATTGTTTTTGAGGAGTATTTGGGGAACATTCTCATGTTAAATGAAAATGCTACACAGTCTCTGAACAGGTAAAGAGTGGCAGGACCCTCACCTGTCATGCGCTCAGATGAAAATTTAAACGGACATTCTTTCATCATAAACCTTTATATGCTAAAAGTGAGAACATGTAGAGTGAAAGTATCCCATGTGTTCCGTGACAGGAAGTGCTTTGACTGGCTGTCCATTAACATGCAATTATGATTTTTCAACATAATAAGCCCACAATTTTTGAGCAAGTCAACTTATTTCTGTATTCACTCATCTTCTGCATCAGAGTATATCATTTGCAAATGACGTGATTATCTCTCCCTTTTAATGCCGACAGCCTTGAACATGATGGGAAAAGCATCATGGAGTTTGAATCCATTATCACCCGGGGTATAATTACTGGTTTACTAAAGGAACTGACCATGACATTTCCCAGAGACAGCTGGATGAGAAGGAAAGTAGTTCACTAGTGCTGTAGTTTAGTTGTGCGTTTAAGAGTCACAGAACATCCTGTACATAGTTCCTTTATACATATGCAATGCACATCTTAGCAGTTTACAAATGAGTTGTTTACATTTTTTGGCCCACTATTGTACATTTTGGTACATTTAACATAAACAGCGTATACCTTGACTGAAACAATTATCCAGTCTGTGCTCTGGACATCCATCACTGTCTGGTTTGGATCTGCCACCAAAAAGGACAGGAGCAGACTACAACGGACAGTCAGGACTGCAGAAAAGATCATGGGTGCCAACCTGCCCTCCATTCAGGACTTATACATTTCCAGAGTCAGGAAACAGACAGGAAACATCACTGCAGATCCATCTCACCCCGGACACAATCTGTTCCAGCTCCTCCCCTCTGGTAGGCGCTACAGAGCACTGTACGCTAAAACCAACAGACTCAGGAAGTCATCACTCTGATGAACAGCTGACTCTGCCCACAGTGTCAGGAACAATTCCTGTGCAATAACCCAGTAACTCTGTCTCTAATCAGAACCTGTTTACTGGTTACCACTTATTATTTATTCATCATTCTCTATTCAGACCTGTTCATATTGTTATATTTTCATATTGTATATACTGTATACCAAATCCACCTACCTCATGTACATAACACCTGCACATAGTACTTATTTATTCCAGCATCCTTTGCACTATGCTCCATCACACTGTGTACATGTATGCATGTATGTGTATGTGTACCTGTATATCCCATCCACCTCCGACATGTACATAAAAATAATAATGATAATAATAATTTACTCCTTCATTGCACTCTGCTCATTGCACTATTTTTTCAATCTGTCTATTTTGTTTTTGTTTATGGATCTGTGGTTGCAAGTCACTTGCTGCTCCCGTGTCCTCTGCTACAATTATTGTTACTAGTCCTATTGTTATATTGTTTTATTATCATTAACACTACTATAAATATCTGTACCATTTTTCATTTAGTCTATAGCAACATCACCTTTACTGTCTGTACCTCTGTGTGTATATTGTGTAGGCTGCCTCCCTCCCCTCTCTCTTTCCTTCCATCCCTCTCTCTCTTTCTCTCTGTTCCTCTCTTGCCCTCTCCCTCCCTCCCTCCCTCTCTCTCTCTCTCTCTCTCTCTCCCTCTCTCTCCTTCACCCCCAACCGGTCGAGGCAGATGGCCGCCCACCCTGAGCCATGGTTCTGCTGAGGTTTCTGACTCTTAAAAGGAAGTTTTTCCTTGCCTCTGTCGCCTAGTGCTGCTCTTGGTGGGAACTGTTGGGCTTCTGTAAATAACATCACAGAGTACGGTCTAGACCTGCTCTTTTATGAAAAGCGCTCAGAGATAACTGTTGTGATTTGGCACTATATAAATAAAATTGAATTGAATTAAAAAAATGAATCCTGCACAGTGATATACTCACTTATTAATGTTGTTTTGTCAAATACATTCAGATTTTATTTTGAAATATATTTTATGATGATTGATGGCCCAAAATGTGGGTTAATAAATGCGAATAAGTAGCCAAGTACAGTATGTAGTGTCTCTCCGGCCACATTCCCCTGTCTCCAAAACTGACCAAAACCATTCTGTGCCTGAACTTCCTTACCCACCAGCTCACCTGTTCCCACTTTCCTCATCAGCCACTCTTTACATATACCGGTCCACTTCCATTGCCAGTTCGCCCTAATTGCTATGTTGCTATCTTGCCTTGTGTTTTTGCTTTTGAGCTTCTGTCACCCAAAGCCAAACCTTAACCTGGACTTGCCTGCCTGCCTATACACTATTTTTAGTCATTACACCACTGATATCCCCCTGCTGTTTGGGTCCTTCCCCTGTTGCCACTCTCCTGCACCCTGTGACAACTACACAAACTGTTATCAGTGACTGGTAAAAGGTGGTGATAAAAAGCAGGAATTGTGCTGTCAAACTCAGGCTTTGTCCACACATGTAAGGATTTTTGTAAACAAATATTTTCTTCTACGTTTTGTTATCTTGTCACACACCTTGGGCCGTGTGCCAGAAAGGTGTGAAATTCAAATAACTATAATAAAAGATGCTACTATTGTTTGTTTTTTAGTTTCTACTGCCAAAGGAAAATAAGCTCCCTCTGCTCGCTCAGAATGTTCTTCTCTGGTATTTGACTTTATCGCCACCTACTGTCCGGGAAAGCTTGTTTGAGTGTTTTTGCATTCCAGTTTGGTAAGCGTATAAATATATATAGGACCTCATGCTGTTGCCTTATAAAACCATTGCCATTAAGGTAGTTACTTAGACACGGTTTTGCTGTTTCTACTTAGCTAGCTCTACGGTAACTTGCTGGTGACAAACATCACACTTGGAGGAGCTACAGTCCTCTTGTACCTGAGATGGTGGCCCGGCACTGGAGGGAGAGACAGAAATTGCTGGCTTCTTGTAGCACTTTACACTCCTCCTCCTCTTCATCCTCAAGGTTGATCTCAGTGATGGTCTCTGGGCTGAGGTGGGACAGCAGCAACATGCTTTTCCTCTTCAGAGAGCGGTTCTGACGGTTCAACTACAGTGAGGAGGAAAAAAGATCAATGGCACTCTACAGTCAACTATTTGGTGCTGCATGTGATATTTTAAACTTCTTTCTTTTCAATAAGTGCTGTTATGCACTGTCCACATTACCTGAAAAATACGCAGATTGAAGGTACATTATGTCTTTCGGACTGTCAGGCCAATTTTTGGGAAGTGATCTCATTCATTTAGTGTTAATTATACAAAAATAATCAAACAAAAGTGTTCAAATGTTACATGAAGCACTAAAATGTTAACTGTATAAATAGTTATAAACGTAAGCTCCAAACACTAAAATAACTTATCTCATATCCTGGCCATCATAACGAGGAGACATTTTTAACTTAGAATTCCACCCAGACAATGAGTGATGTCTGGTCTTAAACATTGGTTTAGAGCACTGGCTTCTTTTTTATTCCAATTTCAAAAGCACTGAGCCAAACTCCATATCCATCTTTGACAACATTCAAACCTAAGAAGAATTGTAGCCTCCAATCTGCTTCCTTGCAAAAACTGTATCAGGAACATGCCTTGCTGAATACAGAAAGGCACAAAGAGGTCACAGTATTTCAAGTCTATTTTTTTTTTATAAATAGCATATAGCATATATAGCAGTGAATAAAATGGTATTATATAGTATTTACTGTATATATTTAATATATATAGTATTTCATTGTATTTTGTCTTTTGTCTCTTGAAATTACATGGAAGTGAAAAAAAGTAACTGAACTTTTCAGAGAGTAGACTCTGTTTGAATGGATGTCAAACAGCAGCTCGTTCAACAAGCCATGACAATAACACTCAAGTGTAAATAGTTTCACGTAAAGAGTGTGAATACACTGATCTGACCATCTCAATAAGAGATTACATGGTGCAGCCATAGAAATAACCTCTGAATGCATAATTTATGGCATATTCAGCACATTCCACATAAATCATGACATGAATCTAACAAAAACTGTCTGCGTCTTACAGCGCCTTCATTTTTCAAATCTGCAAAAAGTGACAAGTGTGCTTTGTATTAAGCTATTGGAAAACACGCAAAGAAATAAGATAGCAGAACGACAGACATGGCAGATGAGATGTTGTTGATTTCCTATTTTCTTTGGCCCTGCAATCAGCATAATGGCAGGACACATGCAAAAGCAATGATAAGGTGTGAAGAAACACATCATTAAAGGAGCAAAATCAGACAAAGAAAAAGGAAGTGAATATTTCTCCTTTGTAATCACAGTTTTTGACGCGACAAATATTTGCATCTTGCATTTCTGTGCATCCACGTTTGTGTGTGATTATCACGTCTAACACGTTTTCTTATGTGGCATTTTTCTAAATCCTTCATACTAAACTAACACAATCCATTTCTAAAATTTCAATCATTGGGACGGCCATTTGTATTAATGAAGAAGGCCAAGTAAAAACATGAATGAAGCCTATGGGAAGGAGAAGGATGCCAATTATGCATGTTTCTTGATGTAATCTAAAGGAAGAAAAGTGCCTAGAGAGAAGAGAAAAGAAGAAAAATAGAAAATATGAGCCATAAAAGAAGCATTTAATAATGGCATCCTGGTGGGAGCAGATTGCAGCAATTCCATCTTTTGATTATGCCCTTCAGCCTGCATCTTTTTTTCTGAAATGCAATCAACAATACATAACATGGAATCACATTCTTTTGATGATGATCTACAATTCGTGAGAGATGTATGTATAAAATTACATACTAAGATAAATCAAGGCTGACATAGCATCGGGCTAGCACTCACTGGAGGTCACCATTACAAAGTCACAGCCCCTTTATCTTACCTTTTGATCACACATCAACACAAGCATTAAGCATCAAAACCACATTCTGATTTGACTGGTTATAAATTGCTAACACCCTCTGGTCGCTTTTTAATTCAAAATGCTGAGAAGTTAAGGAATTGCTCTGAACTTGAGCTTCTTTCAGAGTGGCCTTGAAATATTTGGAATGTAAAATTACAAATAAATTAATACAGAGTTCAATCCTCCTCCTCCTGGGAACACCTCCTCGTGTATTTGGGTTTCATTTAAATGTAAATGAATAATAAACTGATGTTCACATCCTCAGAGTGTAGGAATTGTGACTTTACAGTATTGCTGAAGAGCTATTGAAACATCAACACTATCCAAAAAAATAATGACACTTATTCTGACCTTATTCTAGTCACAGAGCACAGATGTGTTGCTTTTAACTGAATAAGTGAATAGTTGATATATGGATATATTCTCAGAAATGGCTAATCAACGACCACCCCCCACAGTGAGTGCTCATACACCCTACATTATTAGGCAGGCACATGGAGTAACCAGTTATGGGTACTTTTATGATTTATATCAAGGAAAAAGAGGTGTAAAGAAGCAGTGAGCAGAGGAGAACAGAAAGCAAGCTTTTAGCCAGCATATTCTTAAGAACAAATAGATTAATTCCTGCTGTCAGACCGGGAGTGGACTAGTTTACTGCTGCCTCTTAGCACACTGTTCAGAGGGCAGAGCCTGACACTTTTCTGAAGTCAGCAGGAAAAGAAATGTGACAAAAAAGAATTTCTCTCCCACATTTTAAGGCAATGACAATTCATCACATTTGATTGTGTCATCAGGGGCTTGCACATCCTGAATTTCCTAAACTGCACATTTGCATCCATATATCACAATGACAAGGTAAATACTACACCAATTTGCTGAATTGTTGTGGCATATTTCAAGATTTTTAAATGGATATGTTATAAACTAGCATACCAATGCATCCTGATCTCCATTATTCCTTGGAGTCCTGAGCTATTGACAAGAGAACATTTGAATTTCATAAGTAAGTTAATCTAATTGCAAGTAAATGTTTCATACATGAAATTGGGAGTGAGATCTTGAGCTTGTGTCCAATAAAGAACAGCATCATTCAGACCACTAGACAATACAGAAACAGTAAATCTCATCTACCACACTAGCACTTCCATAAAACTAGTGTTAATGTGGTGTTTTTGATGAAAACACAATTACACTGACACTATCACTGTCTATAACTAAGTCCAAACTGGACAGCAGCTTTTTTTTTAGCTTATATCACAACATTCAACAATATCAGTATACTTTATTCTACTTTCTATAAATGCGTGGTTCAGATCAGTGGTGGAACTATAAGCAGTGCAGCTGCTGTCTGATAGGACTCACCCAGCACTTGCTCTCATGCTAGACCATCATAGAGTACGGTCTAGACCTGCTCTTTTATGAAAAGCGCTCAGAGATAACTGTTGTTGTGATTTGGTGCTATATAAATAAAACTGAAGTGAACTGAATTGAATGCTGGACAGCGAGATTAAGGACAGAGGCGCTGTCTTGGTCCAGTCTTTTTAAACCACAGTTAGACCAATTCAGTTTATATGCCTTATCTAATAGCTGTCATTATTAGTGTCACATTTCCAAATACATACCATTAACATCCATCACTGCTGTTATATTTTCTTTCTCAAGTAGGCTATTCTGGCAGAGATGGGGGTTATGTTTCAGATTGGCCGCTGTGCCAACTTGTTGCGTGACCCAAGTAAATGGTTGCCATAATAATTTTATCCTGAATTATGAAAGTCATGTTACAAAGGTAGGAAAAATTTTTTTTGTCAGTACAAAAATGTATTTTGTCAGTATCTATTGACCCTCCAGTTCTAATGGCATGGTATTAGCCTGTAATATAATACTGCAATTTTTTAGGGCATGAGCACGAACTGTGCGAGGTCCCTATTGAAACTGAAGGAATTATATTTTTTCTGCAAAGTAAGCTCGTTTTTAGCGGCCTAAACGTGCTTGGAAACTCACCACACTTTGCACACATGTCAGAAGTGACGAAAAATTACATATTTTATGGGTCCTGTGGCAAAATGGCTCACTAGCGCCACCTAAAAAAATGGCACCTCGGCAACGTTTAACCTACATGCACAAAGTTTTTTGTGGACATCAAGTCACACAGAAAAGCCTCAAGGACCCATACCCTTAACGCAACAGGAAGTCCGCCTGGCACTTTCAATTTGAATTGAAAGTGCCATTTAACCCATTTTATACCATTTACAGGGTGCATACAACAAACTCCTCTTAGAGAATAAATCTGATCAACTTCAAATTTTTGCTGTGCAGTCCAAACCCACTGACGATGATTTAAAGTTGTGCAAATGGTGAGTTTTTGTGGAACAGCATGCCCATGGCGGGGCATCCAAAATCGATGATTCACCATGAAACAGGAAGTTGTTGTAACTTCAGTGTACATGCTCACATCTGCACCAAACTTTACGTGCTTGATAACTGTCCCGACCCGAACACATCTACATGTTCAGGTATAGTCGTAGTGCGAAGTGCTATGTAGCGCCACAAAGGGGACACAGGAAGTGATGATTAACACCTTTGTGCAGCATCTGAAGCGCGTGGCAAATTCACACGCGCTACACATGCGAGGGCCAGCCCAACACTGCTTGCAGCTTTAATTTAAGTTGTTGTTTGTGGCTGCGATATGGCATTACAAACTATCTACACACACACAAATACAAACTCAGTATCTGTGTGTGTGTGTGTGTGTGTGTGTGTGTGTGTGTGTGTGTGTGTGTGTGTGAGAGAGAGTATGCATAAATGTAAGCATCTTGAGGTGAGTCTGGTCATTATTATGTGAAGCTGATGGTTCAGACTCATCATTCCATGCTACACATAGAATGGCCTGTAGATACTAAACAGACTAAAAACAAAACAACTTTTTGTCAGATTGAGTGAATATTGCTAACGCTGCGGTAGCTGTTCGTTCTGTGTGTGTGCTGTTTGTACTATACTATTACTGACTTTTTCTGGTGGGAACTGTTGGGCTTCTGTAAATAACATCATAGAGTACGGTCTAGACCTGCTCTTTATGAAAAGCGCTGTGAGATAACTGTTGTTGTGATTTGGCGCTATATAAATAAAATTGAATTGAATTGAATTTTCAGCCATAATGTGTGTGGCCACGGACATTCAGCTTACGCTCTAGTTCACCAAGACATGGTGTTGTTGTGATGTTAGCTGAGTATTTGCTGTCTGCAGCTGCTTTGCTGGCTCTGGGACAGTCTCATCCTCTCTGCATGTTAGGTTCACTAGCTTTGCAGAAGCAACTTTAGTGTCAGTTTGATAACTCAGAGCTTTGCTAACGAATCACCCTACCATTTATGGAGGACCAATTCTGACATAAAGAGAAAATACAGAAATAAATGCTCAATAAATAAATAAGCATCCGATTAAATGCTCAAAAAATAAAGTAGATAAATAAATGTAGGCAGTAATTAAATTATACAATAAGTAGGGCTGGGCACGTTAACGCAGTTTTTAAAAAAAATTATTATTTATTTTTTACACTGTCTCTTTTTCCATATTTTTCGAACTGCGATCCAGCAGGTGAGCCGCTTGCTTGTTAATGACACAGCCTATCAAACAACTCAAACAACCGAAACCAATATCTGCACCCTGTGTTCAATGCTGCTTTAACGTTACCTGGTCCGTGCTTGTAAAATATCCACTGCAACTTGTAATGTCATTTCAGGTTTTTGCGAGTGAACACATGCACATAAGCGACCGCTTGCGATTAATCGCGATTAAATATTTTAATTGTTGCCCAGCACTAACAATAAGACATAAATGTATATATCTTTTTTATTCACCTTTGTAATAATGACCTTATTTATTTATTGTCCGTTATAATCTTCAACTTTATTTATTAATTTTAACTTTTTAAATGTATTTATTTAAGTTTGTTTAAATATTTTTGTCTGTTTTATTCTTTCTTTGCATTTCTACCCTATTTATTTCTTCAATGGTTATATATTTCTTCCGCCTCTTTTTACATTTCTCCATGCATTTCTGCCTCATTATGCAAATGAGGAGGGGCTGTGTCTCAAGGGGTGAACCCCTATTGGTGGACCAGTCAGAGACTCAAAACTCACACATCAACAAGCCTTGCTCCCCACACAGTCACAAGAGATGGCTTCCTTTAGTGAACTGAAGTGATTTGCAACTCTATCTGAGGACGATTCTACCAGCCATGTCTTCCTTCCTTTTTGTGTTTTCAGTTTGCGACATACACGGACACAGAACTGCCATAAAGGAAACCATTGTTTGTGAGAAGCACACGTCAGCTAGTAGCAGCTAGATCTGGAGTGCACACGTATTCGACTCTGGTATATGGTAAATTCAGTTTGGAGCATAGCCAAGCTGACAGCCAGGTTAGAGACTTTGTTCTGTCAGTTTCTCTCTTTACAAAGACACGTGTTTCAGTCTGAGAGTCTTATTTGAAGAGAGGCAATGAAGTCTTAATAGTATGCGATGCGAGCACCACATAATTTATGAAATTACGTAGGACTTTGAAATTAGCACATAGATAACATGCAACAACGTCCTGTTTTCAAAATAAGGTCTTAATACAGCATATATACTATATGAAAATAAGATTAATTGGATTATATTCACAGGAATTATAAAACCTGTTACATGTGTCTATTAAAAGTAAAATAACACTAAAATGTTTGGGAAATTACTTTACTTAGATTGAAGTACTGCAGTTGTACATTGAAATACCTTCCTTTCTGACAGGAAGTCTCCAATCTTCATGGATTGTGAGGTGCTATAAAAACACATTTCTATTTAAATTCTGATTTGAGTTGTGGACAACGAGGACGACATGAATTAAAAAATTAAACATTTCACTGCCCAAGTCAGCTATAACACAATTAGGCTACATACTGTACAGTATTTGTGGACAGATTTTGTCCCAGGATTTATTATGCATTTCTTCTACTTCTTTGCATGATTTAGAATAATAAATTGAGAAACGTGTTATGGGGTTGTGTGGTGTGGGGACAGAGAGGACCCAAAAGCAGCACTCTGAGGGAAGGAGGTTTATTGAGGGAAAAAGGGTAGAGGGACTGGAGTGGAGGGAGAGGTGGATGTCAGGGAAACACAGGCACGGGGAACCAGGAAGACTGGGGGCCAGGGAGCCGGGGAACACTGGGGCCGAGGAAGCGAGGAGCGGTGGGGGAACAGGGAGGACGCTGTGGGGGTAGTCTGAGGAGAGAGGGCCGGTGGATGAGCACAGCCGACTGAACGGAGGACGAGGGTGAGTGTACCGGGTATGGAGCAACGACGATCAAGCGAGGATGGTGTGGAGAACCGGGGTTGAAATACAGCAGGATGAGGTGATTACTGGCAGGTGTGGCAGGCTGACGAGGTGGCTGATGAGATGCAGGTGCAGGTAGTTGGCTGGGCTCAGGAGCAGAGGGAGAGAGCACACAGGGGAGAAAACACAGGGAGGCAGGCAGGGAACAGAAAACCAAGGAAAAAGCAGAAAAACTGATAAAAAGGAGAAAAAACCAGGACACTCACCGTCAGCCGGGCTGCCACCACAACAAAACGGGTCTGTTCTTTGTTCATCCTGCACTGCAGCAGCTAATAAAGCCCATTTAATCCCAAAGATGCTTTTCATTTTGGCGGGCTGGAGCGGAAAACAACTGACCTTTCTCAAGTTATACAGTAATGTAGTAATGCCACATACATGTATGAAGGTGGATCAAACACAGCTAATTTTAAATGTCAAAGTAGAGAGGAGCCTAGTAGGCCTATTCATTTTCATTCTTTACACATTACAGACAGTTGTAAAAAAAATCTTGAATGTTCTCCACTTATCCTGTAGTTACACAGTAATATTAGGGGTGTGGGCTGTCTTAAAAGTACCCACTGTTCTCCCATGCTCTATAATCACACAGTAACGATGAGATATGTGCTGTTCTCCCATTCTTCCTCTGTATCTACATATATACAGAATATAAAAGGAATTTATTTTATTGTTAGGCTATTTTCTTTGTTGCTCTCCTTCTTCTTTTCTTCTTGTCTCTGATGAATATGGTTATGGCTACCCGTGTCCACCTCCTCCTCTGTATTCTGCGCAAGACATAGAAGTACAGTAACTAGCCTATATTAAATCATTTGACTGGTTAAGTACAGTAAAGTTACCTTTAAATTGACTCCATTACCACGCATAAAACACAGCTTAATAGCAATCACATTTAACAGAAGCATAAAATTCTTCTTAATGATAACTGTCAAGATTAGTTTATTTGTTAGTCACCACCACTAGCTTAAGAGCTTTAGCCTATATGGCATTAACACTACATAAATTAGCCTAGAATGTACTATTCATAATATTTCTTACTCACCACTGGTTAAGTCACTGCATCTCCCAACACAACACCACGGTTGAATTTTCACCCTGAATGGCGTTTTTGTTGAAACAGCAGCTGATAGTAGCAGAGCAACGAGCTGCTCTTTGTGGGAGCATTTACCATAAATACTCCAGATTTAGTTGTGGCAAGCTGACCATGTGGTTCTCACAGACAACAGCTCACTTTCCCGCAGTTCTGTGCTCCGTATTGCATAGCGCCTTCCTAGTCTTTTTGACCACTCAAAGCACTTTTACACTACATCTTGTTCACCATTCACACACTGAGCCTAAGTGCTCAAACAGAAACTAACATTCATACACATTCATACATATTCATACACTGGTGGCCACCAGGGGCAATTCGGGGTTCATATCTTGCCCAAGGACACTTCGACATGCAGCCTGGAGGAGCCGGGATTGAACCGCTGATCTTCCGATAAACGGGCAACCCGCTCTACGTCCGGGCCACAGCTGCCCAGTGTGTCCATGTAAGTTGCTAAATGAAAACTTCTGTAGGTCAGAGCGTCCACACGAAAAAGAAGGAAGACATGGCGGTAGTTGTGTCTACAAATAGAGTTGCTAGCACCTCAGTTCACTGAAGGAAGCATCTGACTGTGTGAGGAGCAAGCTTGTTGATGTGTGCAGGTAGAGTAAAGCTCTGCCGTCTGACTGGTCCACCAATAGGGGCGAAGTTGACCCCTTGAGACACAGCCCCTCCTCATTTGCATAATGAGCCAGAAATGCTTAGAGAAATGTAAATAGGACAGGCAGAAAGAAATACCATGGGGGAAAGAAATGCAAAAATGCAAAGGAAGAATAAAACACACAAAAATATTAAAACACACACATAAATAAATACATAAAAAAAGAAGTAATGAATAAATAAAGTTGAAGATTATAACGGACAATAAATAAATAAGGTAATTATTAAAAAGAAAAAATAAGAAGTTAATTTAAAGAGATATATACATTTATGTCTCATTGTATAATTTAATTACTACATTTATTTATCTATTTTATTTTTTGTGCATTTAATCGGATGCTTATTTATTTATTGACCATTTATTTATTTCTGTATTTAATTGTGAAATTGTCAGCATCAGTCCTCGATACCCATTATGGTACACTTCTTCAATCCAGAAAGAAATTAAACTACAAAATTGCAGCAGAGATTCAGCAGAAACATCCAGAATAGATGCAAAATTCCACCATACTAAACAATGAAATAATGACAGTAATGTCACTTATTATTAGCTACTTAGTTTAAAGGTTAAGCCTTTTTACGGGTTTTCTCGCTTTGGCACAATTCCAAATAATAATGATTTTCAAAACAACATGTACAAACCTCCAAACCACCGGGCACTGGGCAACCGATTGAAATTTCTCATTCTGTTAAACCAGGGGTTCTTAACCTTTCTGGCAGTCCGACCCCTTTTTGAATTTGAAAATATTTCGTCTAGTTATTTTTAAGTTATTTTGTTTCTATTTTTGTGTCTATAGCAGCATTCTCGCAACCCCCCTGGGGGGGTCCTGACCCCCAGGTTAAGAACCACTGTGTTAAACAAATTACAAAAACCAATAGGCAAACTGATTATGTTGCTTCTCAGTAGTGTACTCTCCAAATGTATTAATTCTTTCATTTTGTAAGTCATCACATGCACAATAGTCCTATAAATTGTCTAAATCTGTCAGGCATATACCATGAATTACATTGCAGTGGATTTCTTTTTGTAATATCCGCCAAATTGGGGAACTGCCTGTCATGTAAAACTTGACTTCACTAATGAATGGGGAGCTTCTCACATCTTACATTAGTATGGATTTTGTCAACTATTTTTAGATCTTGACCACAACAGAATACAACTTCTAAGCATGGAGGAACCTGGACAGGCAAATAATGAACAGGGGCAACTGCCTGTTTGAGGAAGAGGAATGTGAGTAAGGATCTGTGGGGGTGTAGTGAGGGGAGGACAGCAGGAAAGAAGTAGAAGTAGAAGTAAGAAATAGAGCTGCCCGAGATGAAAGACGGCCACAATTGTGGACCATGTAATTAACTATGGCCTTATGTTGGTCGGCCAGTGCAGTCCAATGTAGACCGTGCTACAGTGTCTTCAATTATCCAAACACGGGGAAAAAACACATATGTACTTAGTGAATACTGAAATTATTCATGTTTCTGTATTTCAGTTATAGTATAATGCTGTAGAATTGAAGTAAAAACATACAGAAGAAATAGTCAGTAAAAGTCAGAATAAATGTATGTAAGAAACACACGAGGCACACTGTACTGCGTTACAGTACAGTACACAGTAATATTATCTATTTACAATACAATAATGGTTTTGAAGCATAAGTTGAGTGTTTTGGGTAAGGAATGATCTCTTGCCGGTGAGCTATGGTGTTTTGCTGTACCATACAGGCTGATTTGACAAATGCACCTAGAGCTTTGAGACTGCTCACGCTGTTTCAAGAAATGAGCCGAAGCAATTGAAAAAAATTGTAACCTTCACAAAATGTAGAATAAACTGCAGCAATGAGCGTTAGCCAAGGTCAAATAATGAGTTCTGCAGTTGTCTTGAGAGTCAAAAGTTTTTCAAATCTAGAAATCTCAGTAGCCAGCAAGTAAACCCAGATACCTTATGGTCATTTGGGGCAGTATAAATCTTACTTGTCACCCCTGCAAGATGAGGATAAAAAACAAACCAAAGGAAAGAGGAGGACTGAAGGCTAAGGAACGGTAAGAAAAAAGGCCTGAAAGTCGACCTTCACCATAATTCTCCCTCAGCCTCCCACTGCCCAAAACCTGGTCCAGCCACATGGATTGTGAGGGCTTTTGTCCAGAAATTGAATGAGAAATGATTACAGTGATAAGCTCAACGCCAGTGGGCTGCAAAATCACTATGTGCCATGCTCCCCCACTCTCAATCACAGCTCACATTTTAGCAAGGACTCCAGAAAAGTGTGCTGTGAATCAAAAGAATCCAATGCAATTTTAGACCCTAAGATATGGGGAATGTTTTTGATTGCAACATACAAACTGAATGTGATGTTACTGGGATACACTGACCAGGGTGTAATTGCAAATTGCTGATTTTATGCTGTAGTATTTATTTAGCCAAACATTTTCTAAATCAACAGATCCTACAATTCTGTTAACATTATTCCTCTCTTGTTTAAATCAAATGATACCATTTTCTTGGTTGTGAGCATGTCTGAATCCAGGCTTCCTTAGGCAATGTCCGTAACATAGAATTAACACGGATGATCTGACAGAATACTAGCAGTATTGTTGACAGTAATTGTTTAAAGATGAAGTGTACCTTGGAGGCCAGGCTTCAGCACTTTCTCTACATGTTCTCTCGATCTCCAGGTTCTCCTGAATGGCACTGACCTCTTCAATAACCATCTGAGAAACTAAGAAAAAAATGGAATTAAAAAAAGACAATGATAAACCATATTGTTTCTATTTTATTTTAAATTATTTTATTATTGATGCCTTGACTAATTTGTAAGTACTGTTGGTAGGTTAAGGTGGAGCACATTTTAACAGCTTTATTCACTGTTAGTAAGTTCATCTATAGCAATGAACAATTTTAAAGGCATCTCCATCATATGTTTTGTATGTCAGGCTATATTTGTTAACTAGTAACTATATCTATGAAATATGTTACGTCACGTTAATGTGCTGTACTGTAATGTTATTATTTGTAATAATAACATTATTATTACAGAAAAAACAAGGCAACAGAAATGTTACCAGTGAAGACAGTAGTCTTTGTGGCCCAACCAGTAACAAACGTCACCTTGTGGAGACCATTATGTTATTTTCACATTGCCAATCAAAACACCATTAACCAACTGACAAAGCAACAAACTAACAGACTGAGACAGGGACTAGAAAATTATGCATGTTTGTCTTACAATCTGTGACCTTTAGCAAAGGAGCCCACTAGTCAGAAGCTTTGCATGATGTGACAATGATAATGAAATATGAAAAGCAGCATTTCAGATTGTACTGAATGACTGCATTCATGTCAATACAAACTTAAAAAGTCAACTGATCAAAATGTAATCAAGGAAACAAAGAATATGATTAGGAAGTTGTAAATGAGTGGGTGCATACCTGTGACTTCTCATTTCATTGCGCAGTTAATTGAGAGAAGAATGCCATAACACTTGACACTGAAGTATATTTCTTCTTGTTATTGTGTCTGTTATCAGTAGTTCGTGACCTGTGTGCATCATTATGATTTGAATTCAAAAAGAAGTGAACTAAATGTTGTTACCAATGTATCTTTTATTCAGATCATTTTCCCTACCCTTTTATTTTCATCAGCCAGGACCAAGGTGGAATGTGGACCAATGAGTATAGACTGAATGCAGGCATGAAACTAGTTTAGAGCATAAAAATATGTCAGAGTGTATGTGGGCTTTTTGGAAAGTATGATACATGTGATGTTGCACTTAACCCAGGATGAACGGAAACATTTACATTTAACTTTTACTACATTTATTTTTTGCAACATTACTGTACCATGGCATATCATTTTTATTTGATAAAACACAATATCTCACATGTTTTGACAAAACATCCTTAACTTAAGGCCCACTTACTCTTATGGAGTCTTCGAACATATTAAGCGGTCTTCATTAGCAAATGGAGTTATATAAGTCCTCCAAATAATGGAATGTTTGAACATCCACAGCTCCACAACAACTGAGAAAAGTACGATCGACAGCTCCAGTTTTGCCAACTGTTTCCAAGGGCCAGAATAAACTGTTAAGCTTAAATCTAATGCTTGCTTAAAGCTTAGTATTAAACTTGATATTATCAATTTTAAAAGTTGATATGGATGAAATGTTGAGCTTAAAATATATCACTGCTGCACATCCAAAGTGTCATGTGATAATTCGTCATTTGCCCATTGCTATGAGAGCAGCCCAAAATGTATAATGTGGACATTATACATGTCTATGTCTATGCAGACACCTATAATGTTGTATAAACAGAATTGTAGAGAAAGTAGACATGCAGCAGTGCATGTCTACTTTCCACTCCATGTTCATTTTGGAGTATTTGTGGCCTTTTTAGGGGTGCTCCGATCGATCGGCCGATAATGGCTTCAACTAGTTTGATCGGTGGTGTCTAAAAAGGCCGATCAGATGATGCAATACTCGCCAGACAAATTTTTAACGGCAGCTAAAATGGTTTCATTACAAGGTCTGAGCAGTTTTCAAAGCTAGCTAGCACCAAAGTCCTTTTCAGATTGATGCGCTCAGTTAATCATTTACACTGAGAATTACGCAGCAATTAGACAAGCGGAGCAACAAGCAGGAGCGATCCTGTGAAACTGTTGCTGTCGAGTTTAATTGTCTTCACCCACAGCACATCAGGCAGAGAGAGACTGATCCTTCAGTGTGAGTTTCCTGATGCAAAGAGAAGCGCAAATCAATAAGCTGACTGCCTCTGTCTCTCTCCGTTTTCTTTTTAAAACGGAGACCTTTTGCTACGTTTCCGCCTCCCGTCCATATTAAAAGGGCAAATTCGAAAATGTTTGTTTGAAAACGCTAAAAAAATAAATAGATTTCAGTCACGCAAAGCAAAAACACAGTGCTACTGACAGAGTTTTAGTTTTGGTATTTCTATTAAAATCTTTTATACTGTTTAAATAACACTACTCTGCATGTCGCCATATTTACTTTGCAACGACTCCCAGTCTATTTTCCGCCGCCACAGCCTCTTTGTGCTCCTGTGTTACATAAAAAAATTCCACTTCATTGTCAATGAATGCAAAAAATACCTGGTGTGGTTATTCGTCTGTATTATTTTCTTCTTCAGTCGCTTTAATATGGTCGGAGATCAGTTCTGATACGCAGCTAAAACGCTGCTGTGGACGGAGAAGATGGTATTCGTTATAAAACTGTTTTAAAAAAGTAGTAGTGCGGATGTAGCCGCACATTACCCCACTCCTCTCTAGTTAGCAATAGATTAATGGATATAATCCCATTTTAGTGTTTAGATTAAATGCCATATGTTCGGGCTCCATTGGTATTTTAACATCCAGAATCTTTGAGTTGAGGGTATGTTGTTTTGTTCACAGTTTCCCGAGCGGAATTTGATTTGGTTCTTTTTCAGTGTACCTTTTATACTGTGTAAGTATATGTGACTCTGCATTATGATTATTACACCCACAGATCAGATTTAAAATCATAATTCATAATCAATACTCAATACAATACTATTATTATTAAAAGAGTTCATGTGGGGTTCAGCCTAATCCAGCAAGTCTGCACTTTTGCAAGTTTGGGCTTAAAGATTTGTTGTTCTAACAGTTCCAGATGAATTTGAAACCACGACCAGATTACGTGGTTATCCACGTATGAAGAATGTAGTCCAAAACTAAAACATTGAACTAAAAGAAGCTACAAAGCTTCAAAGAGCTGAGGTGAACTGCAGAGTGGGTGATCATTCCCTGTGGAGTGTTTCACCTTATACACAATCATTTCACCCGTTGTTGATATGAAAAATATTGATAAGTGCAGCTTTAACTAAACTAGGTAGCTGAACAAAATCTGGTAAAATTCCAGATCACAAATGATAACACACAGATAATGTTGTTTAAGCTGCAATCACACCTCAGTACAAAAGAACGCCCCTAAAGAATGCCCTACCACTTATCTAATTAAACATTGTGGTTGAGCGATGAAGAAATTAAGCATTAGTGCCATTGCTGTGGGCAATTCCTTCCCCAGGGGACACCTAATTAAGATGATGAACGCCAGCGCTGGGCGATATCCGTGTTCGTCTGGTGCCCTCCACATCAGTCATTCAATAGTACTTAGCTGCCAGTTTTGTCCTGTGCCTCTTCTCCGTTCCTCTCTGCCTGTCTCCACAATGCTGTGGCCACACTCAGCAACCTATGAAAGGACGTCTTGAACTAAATGACATGTTAATTATAATTACTGGTAGCCATGGTAAATAAACAGCGGTGGAAGTGTTGAAAGTGTATGAGCATGAGTCGACGGGGGGCTCTGACACGTCAGAATTGGCAGTCTTAATTGTAAGTTTCGGCCTCCCCATCATCATCACTCCATCTTTATTCTCCCGTCTTTTTTGTGCCTGTCTTTTTTCATCCTCCTCTCAGGAAAGACAGTGATTACCCCTGGGCCGACGTGCTGCATAATGGTATCAGCGCCGCCAACGGAGCAGTGAATTAAATTGTATCTGCAGCCGCTGTGAAGCCTTGATGAGGGGGGCAGATGCCTTTGTGGTGTTATCATTATAACACAATGGTCATGTTGTCATCAACCTTGCCATCGGCAATTGAAAAGGCATGATTGTGTGTTGGGGGCTTTTTCTCCCGTCCTCCCACTACCCCCTCCACCAACCCTGCCACCCCATCCCCAGCCGTTTCGTTGTGAATAGGAGCAATTTTCTAAGAGCTATGAAATCACGTAATAGGTCCTAATATGCAGCTGCTTGGCACAGTGAGGCAGCCTCTATAAATGCGGAAGTCAAACACAATATGTGTTTTGGCTGGAGAATTGCTGAATACATGAGCACAGGCCAGATTTATTCAGATGAAAATCCACCGTTCCAACTGTCACCGTTACAAAGGCAAACTATTTGCTCTATCTTTCGACATGTGGTGCCCCATTTCAAATTCTGTCTTCACTAAAATGGTCATAGCAAAGCATTCAACCTGCAAGTAAAATCATTTTGGAAAATTGAATGGTGGGCCAAAACATTTGAAACATATTTGTAGTGTTTGGAAACAGATTTGTGATGAAAGCTGGAGTGCTATTCCAGCGCCATTATCTGTGTCCTGGTTCACATATTTGTGCAGCTGTGATCATTTCCGAACAACATATGTTTAATACAACAGAACACATGTTCTCTTATGAATGTTTATGCTGTCACAAATGAGATGATATAGGTATAGGTAGGCAGATGTGTAGAATCTGATACACCTTCTTGAGTTGTACGTTACGTTCCTTAATTGCCTAGTGCCATTGCATATACTGACATCATGATGCACTTCACATGGAAATATCTGATTGCTTGAAAACACAGCGTTTGCTATTTATTTAATTCTTACCTTACAGGTAACATCACATTAGCTAATTTAGCTGACACTTTTATCCAAAGCGACTTACAACTGCTACATATGTCAGAGGTCGCATGCCTCTGGAGCAACTATGGGATAAAGTGCAATTTATTCTTCTGCGTCAAATCAACGGCGTAGCCTCTGCGTAGCCCCTTACACTACGCCATCACCTACGCCGTAGCCTGACATGCACCTCCTCAAAATTGTAACTACACGTCGAGGTGGCGCGGACCGTGATTGGTCGGCTGGGTAGCCTCGCAATACCTCGAGCCGACAGGAAGTGCCTGTGCTTTACGTAACTTTAAG